TTTAAAATTACTTTTTAAAAAAAAAAAAAAAAAAAAAAAACAGCGTAATTCTATGGTTACTTTTGGTTTGATTTTGTGTCGGAGAATGGTTTCCGCATGGAAGGCAGGAAGAGAGACAAACGCAGAATTGAGAGAACGGTGGAAAGGGAAAAATGGAAGATGGGTTTGGCAGTCAGCGACGACATGTCGACCGAGAAGACGGTGAGCAGAGCGACAATTCCTGGATTCGGATTATTAATTGGGTGCGGGTGGGAACATAAATGCATTGCATGTGTACCACTGCCCATCATCATTCAATTTTTCTCCCTACTTGTTTGCCCCTTCAAACACGCATACTTTCCTCTCCCACGTCGATAATATTCACCACAGGCCCCACTTTTATGTACAATCCATCCACGTTTATTCCCTAATTAAACGTGATTAACTAGAATTTAAATGCTTAGGCTCAAATCCCGCAGGGGCTGATCATGCCTTTTTCTTTACGACTCAATCATTATTCCATACAGCCCCCGAAAAAAGCCTTCTTTTTAATTGCTGTACTCTATATTTTCTTTTCAAAGAGGCTCTTTCATGGGTTGCAAAAAGCTTAAATTACTGTATATTTAAAAATCATTACTAGTGTGTCGGTTTTAACTCTATCAAAAAGAAGTAGACAAAAGCGAACCAAGTAAATCTAGAGCTCAACATGTAAAGATCGAACACTTTTAATTAAACACTTTTAAAAGCAAGGCGTAAAAGAAGAAAAGAGATCTAAAATTATATATATGTGTATAAAGTTGGATGATCTGGAATTATAGGGGTGTTGGAGTTAGGTAAAAATGAGGATCTTTGGTGTGATTTATTTATTATTGTAATCAAAAAATGGGTACCAATAATAAGTACGGATGGTGGGTTATGGGTCAAATACTAAAAACAAGATTGGAAAAGGTTAAAAAATAGGGGAACAGGGAGTGTTTGGATGCCCAGAAAATGAAGAAGAGAAAGAGAAAGAGAGAAGAAAAGACATGAGGTGGGTCTGATCTCATGGAGCCCCATATGCCCAACACAACCAAATCTCTCTCCCAATCCCAATGCCCAATGCCCAATGCCCCTTTCTTTGTTTCCTTCTTGGAAGCATCACCACCACTATATCATACCCATTTTAATCATTTCATTATTCAATTATATTTTCTACAATTAATTCTAATTTCCCTCAATAATTTCATCTCATCATTTTAACTTAATTAATCTTTACAAACTTAAAATTAAGTAACAAAATAGAATAATTTCATCTTTTAAATTATTATAGTGAAGGGATGAGAACAAGAGAGTGTATTTATTTGTTTATTTATTTGTGGTAAGGTAATGTTGTATGAATTGGGATTAGTAATTAATTAAGAGGGAGAAATTGGAAATTTAAATTTTGGGGGCTCAAGGTGAAGCTGGTGGGGCCATTGATTAGCGCCACGTGGCGACCATGCCAAGGCTAGTGATATAGATCATAGGATGAAGAGAGTGGGGAGGCACATGGGCGGTGTTGGCTTCGAGAAAATCATGTGATCACATGTGCTTTCTCTCCCTCTTTTATTTTTCATTCTTTTCGTGGGCCCATTTTCCCTCTCTTAATCTCCACGCTCCTCACTTCTTCCCCCCTGCGCGTGGCTCTCTCTCTCTCTCTCTATTTTCCTTTTTTTTTTTTTTTTTTTTTTTATGAGAATTCCCAAAACTTCAAAAATAAAATTAAAATTAAAAAACGTGAAGCCATTAGTGGATTTTTTTTTTAAATTTAATTTTGTATTTCTGAAACAAAATTGTCGCCTTTTTTAATGTATGAACACCAAAATAAAACAAAAATTAAAAGTATAAATGCCCAAATTGAAATAGTTTTGAATCATAATTCATATAAGATTTGGTTGCTAGCTGGGTTGCACCACATTTGCAAACCAACCACATGGCCCAATAGTATGCTGCCATGTGTCAAGTTTTTTTTTTTTTTTTAATTTTGTGAAATTAAAATGAAATTTGTTATGGTAAAAAATAAATGAAAAAAGAAATAAATAGAATATGCGATTTGGCTTCCGAGTAATATGCATCAGGTGGGAGTGGAAGGAAGAAGGTTGAGTCGCGAAGCGGCGTTTGAAGGGGCAGTAAAATCCAAAACCAGAGGTGTCGGGATAACCCCAAGAATGGTGGGCCATAGCTTCGTTGGCATTGACATTTCCAGAGCTCAACAATAATTTAACTCCCTCCTCCTCCTCCTTATTCGTACCCATTCACACGCCCCTTCCTCTTCTTCTATTCCTCTCTCAATCTCTCTCTCTGCCTCTCCGCCATGGACAAACCTCAATTTCAAACTCTTAACCTAACCACCGCTTCTCGTCAGAAACACCGTCGCCGGAGCCGGAGGAAAGTACCGGCTACCTGCAATGTTAAGAAGATTCACCGAAACGGCGCTGTTTTTGCCTTGGAAGAACCGGATGAGAAGGAGGTCGTGGAACGGAAGATTCGCGCATTGCAGAGTATTGTACCGGGAGGTGAATCGCTTGGAGTCGACAAGTTGTTTGAACAGACGGCGGAGTATATAATGAACTTGCAGCATCAAGTGAAGGCCATGAGAGCGCTCTCGAGCTTTTTTGAGAGCTTGGAGAAGGAGAAAAGCGAGTGCGGAGGTTGAAGAAGATGAGTTACTTCTGATTTTGAATTTTTTTTTTTTTTTCCTTCTTCTTCTTTCATTCGGTTTATTATTTTTTCTTTTCCATGTGAGGAAAGATCGATCGGGCGTTTGATTCTCAGTCGCTCCATCTTTTCTCTGTTAGTTGGAACCAGGATTTCGAATCCTTTTCCCTTGTTTATCATCATCATCATCATCTTTCATACTACTTGCTGGTAAATCTGTGTAGCTTTTTAATGAATAGAAAATCGTAACAGATTGGGGTGAGAGTTCAAGAATGTGATTACGCAATTTCATTATTCTGGTTCTTGGCAGAGGTTTCCATGGCGAAGGAATCGCTTACTTTTCCTGGTACTCTTGTAACAGGTACAAAGTGGATTTCCAAATGATTCCAAATCTAGATTAACTCATGATTTAAGCAAGCCTAAACTTTTGGATAAATCATTGATCAAAAACCATCTTTGTTCATATTTTTGGAAGTATATTAATTCTGATTAGAAAAAATCCATTCGATAATAACACGGATTTTATTCTTGTTTATAAACATATATTGAACACATTGCGTTATCTATCCAGCTATTGACTCGGGCTTTTATTTCCTTTTAAAGTTTATTTCCTATTTTGGGCAATTATGTTACTGCTTTCAATTACTTTTTTGGACGATCGTAATCTTTTATCATGCCAAAAATTAATCCTAACGAAAAGTTTGAATTCCATTGACATTTTTCTTCATTAATGCCAATCCAACATGCTAACAAGAAAATTGTATATGGGTTTTCATTGAGATTGATGAGATTGTGGCCTGTGGGACCGTCTTTTATTTGTTTGAGCTCTCATTCAATAATATCCCAGTTTCCTCTTCAAGGGCCAATATGGTGATAGTGAGTTTCCAAGTCTGCAACACACAGCTCAAATAATGTCACGAAAGCCTGTCACAGTTCAAAGCTTATAAAGAGATTCAATAAATGAACTATTAAACATTTTTCTTCTATAATTCAAAGCTCTACTGCAAATAATGGCCAAGTTCGAAAACTGAAGCAATCAGAAGCATTGATTCTTCTTTTTCCCAACTAAATACATGAAGCTTGATTGTTCCTTCAAACTATTCAAGCAAATTCGAGGCGAACATCGTTCTTTTAGTACATCCAAAACTCCAAACGAACTTGTAAAAAGCTGTAGAACCTCCACACACATGGAACGAAAGTTCAATCAGATAGCTTCTCTAATACATTCTTGCCATACCATACTCGACTGCACCCGCGTTTCTTCGGGTGGTGGCAGCAATGGCTCCAGCATCATATTGAGCATTTACCTGCAAACGTGCAGCAGCACGGTCATTGTTTCCCACCCTGGGGATGCCTACTCGCGCCATAAGGAAAGGATTTGAGAAAGCACCAGTAGCAGCTGTATCTGCTGCTAACTTGGCAGCCATTCCACATTGAGGGGATTGTTTACATTGCAAGGAAGTGTCCTGCTCAGCCCCTGATGCTGTTCTTCCTTCATTTTGGCCGCAAGATTGTTGGTAATAATATGTGGGATGGATAGCATGAGAAGGGAGGGCACTTCTAATTAACGTTCTTGGGTCGTAAGCATCTTTAACGACACTTCCACCGCTATCGTATGGCATGACCGGGCCCGAAATTCTTCCAGGCTTGGCTAAACACAGATACAAAGTTAGAACAGGTGGATTGAAATTCAAGTAGGCAAAACAAAATATAGGATGGAACTCAGAAAAGACCTTGAGTAGCAGCAATCCTCTGGCTGCTGTATGAGCCTGCTGGTGCATATCGGTCTTTAAAGGAAACAATATTTGATGTTGGCTTAGGAGGAATGGTATTTGATTGTACTGAAGACCTGGTAGCATCGACAGATTGGAAATATAAGTATCATCATAATTGGACATTTGAAGCATATCTTAAAGCGTTGTTTACCTAGGAAGAGATGCATGCTTTCTTTCAAGAGGATAAGCTGGTCCACTTTTCCCTCCATTATCTTCAAGATGAGCAAATTGCCTTTTGAACTGATCAAGTGCACTATGCAAGCAGAAACATGGACCAGATGAGCAGTGTCAGGAATGGACTAGTTATCATTTGGAAATTGAATTAGAAAAAGGCATTTAATGACCTTGGATAAAGAAAATTTGATCTCTCAGTTCCATTTAAGTAGTCTTTCAGCAGTTGAGGATGGTATTCTAGTATCTCGAGGAATATCAGCTCGCGAATGTCGTCTTTCGTGACCTTCCTCCTCTCGAACTCAAACTCCACCTTAGAGATTGGTTGGCAAGAAGGTTCCCTCTCAACTTTTGCCAGCCCCGTAAAGTAAGGATCTGCCAATGCCTGATGGCAAATGCAATGTTTTCAACAAGACTACTTTTAGATTTCAAAGCACTAGATAAATACATGCAAGAGTACATAACAAAGGTAGCATTGAAACAATAAGCAGACCTCTTCGGCAGTAGGTCGATCCTTTGGATCAAATGCAAGCAATCGTCGTAGTAATTGCAGGGCTAGAGGATCCACATTTGGGAACTTCTGTGAAAAGGGTATGGGCTGCTTCTTCCTCATACTAGTTAAGTACCTCCTAGCCTTTTCATTTCTTACCTATGGGAACACATTTGAAAGTTGATGGTTAGGAAATTTTCTCTCAAAAGATCAAGACTGCTCCCCAACTACACATAATAAAATGCAACTTGCCCGAGAAATGGTATCTAACGAAGGCGTTCCAAGGAGATCTGTCATCAAATCAAGTTGGTGAACAATATTTTTACCAGGAAAAAGTGGTTTTCCGGTCAGTACTTCAGCAAATATGCAGCCAATACTCCAAATGTCAATGGCAGGAGTATACTATATCCAGTAAAAAACATAGAAATCAGACCCAGAAGAACAAAATGTGGAACATCATCATCGTAAAGAAAAATGATAGAACTGTCAATCGTGAGTGGTGTTGCCTAAATCAGACAGGAGAGAACTATTCAATAAACCATTCAATAACTAAAACAATTAAACCAAAATTTCATTACACAGAAGGCAAGTGAATCGATTAATCTCATCCCTACAACGGGGTTATAACTAAGATATATTTAACTCACTTCATTTAGGTTCATAGATTATTTGAGATTCAAGATTATCCGGTTTACTTGTGTGGAAAACGTCGTATGAAGTTAGCAAAGTTAAGATTGTAAGAATGTTCTGTAGACTATGTTCAAGAAATGTCATCAAACAAACCTTAGAGAAGAAAGAACCACATAGCTCTGGAGCCCTATACCATCTGGTAGCAACATAGTCCTGCAAGTACCGTCACACGCTATAAGCTTTGCTGTCTACATATACATCCAGAATTTCTATATTGATTGGCGTACCGTCCAAAATATTGTTGTCGGGGTGTCGCTGAAAGCAACTCTAGCCAATCCAAAATCACAAACTTTGAGTTTGCAATTTGCATTTGCCAATATATTCTTTGGTTTTAAATCCCGATGGTAAACATTTGCTGCAACAATGTAGATCAGAATCAGGTAACTCCAGGCAGTAGACCTCCACCAAAAACATTATAAAAAGAATGACAAAAGGAAAGGGTAACTATCAGAAGCCTAAATGCAATAACATGAGAGACACAAAACACCCCATCTCCCCAAAAAGTATACAGTACGGTAGAGTGTTTATGCAATGCAATATCCAAGCACCTGTGTGAATATATTTCAGTGCACGGAGTAGCTGGTAAAGGAAAAATTGATAGTGCTCTTTTGTTAAATCATCGTTGGCCTTGATGACTTGATGCAAATCTGATTCCATCAACTCAAACACAACAAAAATATCTTTGAAACCCCTGCGAGAAGGTGGTAACATAATGTGTTTGATTTCGACAATATCGGGATGTCGTAGAAGTCTGAGTAGCTTTATCTCACGAAGAATCCGAGCAGCATCAGATACGTGTTCAAAAATATCATGTATCTTCTTTATTGCCACTTTTTCATTAGTGAGAGTGTCAACGGCTGAACAAACCACACCATAACTCCCCTTTCCAATAACTTCCTGGATTTTGAATCTGTTAGCATCTCCGTATTCAGAGAAAAAGTCCAATTCTGCAGAATTCTGTCACACAGAAATCTATCTACGTTACGAAACGTGGTACTCATAAACATTAAACATACAGGGCATTCATAACCAGGAAAAAGCCTAGAGTGTTCAATAATTTTGGTATAGCTTTCAAAGGGACATCAATAAACGGTGTGGAATTCAGTACGAGCAAAAGTAAGGATCAAGAAATGACATCCAAATGAATTAAATAAAAGTACGATCATCAAAGTGCATCTACAGCTGCAAATTCAATGTTTCACATGCATAATCTATCTCTTTAATCAAACCCCAATATATGAACTCTTATAATGTGCAATTTTCGTTTCAAATTAGTGTCGAAATTGTCATATTCTTCCACCAAATGCCATAAATTTGTTTGCATCAGACAGGAGCACTCATAGGGAAAAAATGTACGGTATTAGAGAAGGTTGCGAGTAAGATAATAACAATGAGATACCAAACTTCACCTTCTTACGGTGATCGGTCTGCATTTCCCCAAAGTCTCAAACCCAGCTTGAAGAACAATGAACACGAAATCTGATATCCAGTTCAGCACCAAAATAGAAAACTCGAATTCTCAATCAACTAAAAGAAGACTCAACCACATTTGCCCCATCTACTCCTGCTCCGGATCACAAACCCACAATCCCTCCGTATGCTCCTTCCCGAATCCTCCACGGAACATAATAAAATTACCCAAATCAAATCCCTCATACACTTCCCCACCTGCAATCCCAGAAACCCAATCACCAAACCGGAACAACCGGCACCACCAGCTACCATAAAGTAACCAAAATCAGACGGAGCATACAAACTTTTTGCATTCCTACTCGATGAATGCCCTAAACCCAATTGCTCAACGATGAAGAATCAGTCGGGGAAACCAAAATCGGAGATCTACAGGCGGGTAACAGGAGAAGGCGAAGAAGAAAAGAGAGTTGGGGAGAGGGAAGGAAGGCCTAAGGCTGTAGAGTGGATATATAAACAAGATAATTTGAAGTAAAAGAGCAGAAATCTAGGAGACCCTCTTGCTTCTTTTGGATTTTTCAATCCTTTTCTTTTTCTCTTTCAATTGGCATCTGTTTATTTCCTCTCAGTTCGTAGATTCGTATGGATAAGGATGGATGGACGGTGGTAATACCAAGAGGACTGTATAATTTGGGAACAGAGATCAGAGAAATCAGCAATCTTCGTCCAACAGGATCCAAATTTTCGATGGGAATCGGAAATGGTGATACTCCAACCCCGAAAATTAAAAATAAATCGACATCTTCTAATAATTTTCTTGGTATTTAATCTAACCCATAAATGTTTTTAAAATCGCATTCAGATAATGATATAGAATTTATTTGTGGAGGTTACTTACCAGTGGTTTATAATTTAACCGAAATCGTCCAAATTTGAAAGGGTTTGAGGTATGGATTTAGCAGGTCAATCGACATAGCACGTGAGCAACTTGGCATTCAACGGTAAGGACGATGCGGTGGGCCGCTTTCTAAAACCCTTCTCCCCTCAATAATTCGCTTGTATCTATTTCAAGCAAAATAAATAAATAATAAATCATAAACTTATAATATAGTATGAAAATTATATTAATTATTTATATTTATTAACAAATTTGGCACAAATTTTCAGTTCAATTAACTTGGACCTTAATTAAGTCGAAACTAAAGGATTTATCATACGGTTTATGTCCATTATTATTTTCAATCACATCCTGTCCTGTTTTAATTATATTTTGATAATGAAACCCAACCATGCACCCATGAGTTCAGACGTTTCATCTAACTTTAATTATATAATTGAGTGTAATCTAAAAATCTCAACCTAATTAAGTTGATTGAATTCTGGTTAAGTTATTTTGTACTTTTCGTTCAAAGTTTTAAAACATGTTTGATAAGAAAAGATTTTCACACTCTCGAGCCGTGGTTTATTCTGCCAGCGATGAAATTCACTTTTCTTGCGCCACATGGTTTGAATGGAGATCGTCTTATTCTACCAACCTTTCTTGCTCTGATTTTTTTAATATTTAGACATTCTTAGTAAGCATTATTGTTCTTTAACTTGTTTTGGGCTTATAACTTTGAAGGCCCAATTTTCAAAAAATATTTACGTGGGGGGAAGGATTTGTGTGTTTTCAGATTTCAACGCTGATCAAATCCTGTTGAGCATGTTAATAATATACTAGATACATATTTAAAGAATATACTAGATACATATTTAAAAAAAATTCTACTGCAACCAGTGATGTTGTTTCGTGAAATTACAAAACTACCCTTAACCTATGTGCACACGACTTTATTCGTCAAAGTTCATAGCATGGGGACATTTTCGAAGAAATTCTTGGGTTTTAATTTACATTCCACTATACGACCTACCCTCTAGCTACCACATGGCATGTGTTTGTTTGGAAAATGAGATCATTTAAAATTCTATATTATTGAAATAAATAATGAGAATTAGAAAAATGGAAATTTGTAACATTGAACTAAATTGGGCAACACCCACCACGAACTATGCACCAAGTGTTTTATGAAATATTCTTCGGTTTTGTCTGAATTTAGATATTTTCATTACGTGGGCCCTAATGTGTTCTTAATGGGCCCCACAGCTGTCATTTTTTGTAACCGTAGACAAGGTCTGGTGTCGACTTAACCGCAGACGTGGCCATCTCCGAACTAAGGAGTGGTACCTGACAGTCCGAAATCTCGGGGAGTGTGGGCCAAGTTTACAGACCCACGTGGGCCTTTTCTTTTATTACTGGCAACTTTTTTTTTACTTTCCAGCCCATAAAAAAGCCCAGTTGAAATTTATGATTTCGCCTAGTGGGCCCAGCCCATTAAGCTCATTAAAGCGATTACACGTGCTGTTGTTCAATTATACACGACCATACACAATTAATTACAACAAAAATCATATTTAAAGAGATTGATGGATCATAATAATTTCATATTTGGCTGTCACAATCTGTACATCCAAAACTAGAGGAAAAGATAAAGCATTAGCCCATTACCCTTTGTTTTTTTCTTTACTCTACTTTTATTTTACTTTCACATTTTTTTCTTTTTTTATTTAATTTTATTCCAAAATATTTATAGGAAATGTAAAAAATAATAATTAATAACTCTTAATTATTGTTTTTTTTATTTATTTTAGATTTATGATTATTTTGAAACAAAAGAACGTTTAGCCAAAAAGAAATGATGGGATGATTAATAGATTTTTATTTCAGTGGGCCCCATGCACCATGAGATATTTGTATGTTTTAGAGCCAGGGTGGGCCCACCACCAACTTTTGATGAATGATGATCACCAAGACCCCAAAAGTTGATCGGAGACTACGTGGCAGTATCTAAATGGTTTATTTGTAATGTAAAAACCTGCGAACAGAAGCAGGTGATTTCCTGATTCCCCACGTTTCCACCGACGCAAGATCACGTCACTATACGAAAACACAATGGGAGCTAATAATCAGCTATGCACAGTCTCACGTGAGCTCGTCGATAACTAAAAGAGAAGTCCACTCATTCGTTCCGGCCAACCAGTTGCCGCCACGTGGCCCATAATGGATCCAAACCGATGGCACCCCCGAAATTGAATCCAGAATCAAGGTCAGAGAAAACAGCGGGAATTTATCCAATAAATAATAATAATAATATATATTATATATTTTTGTTGGTCGAGAATTAAAAATAATTAAAAACGCAAAATTTAGAATCGGAGGACGGAAGCAAGCAGTGAAATTAAAATTCGTAGGTGTCAACGGACGCCAAATGGGATTCAAATTCAGCTGAATTTGGTATTTCATATTAAAAATAAAATTAAAAAAATTAAAAAAATTTAAAAAAAAAAAAAAAAACCGAGTTAATAATTTTTTTTCCTTTTCCCTGTGCTTGTCCTCCATTCTTCCAATCATTTTCCTTTAATTTAATTTAATTTATTTTTGTATAATTATTTTTTGGCCTCCATTTTGATTTGTGTTTCTAAAATTTGCCCACCTTCCTTCCCTCGCTATCTCTTCTATCTGGGTTCCCGGCGAGACTGCAGGAAGTAGAAGAGTAGAAGAAAGGATTTTCTCTGCTTCTACGGAAACTCTTATCCTTTTCGATTTTTCTCTCTCTCTCTCTCTCTCTCTCTCTCTTTTTTTTTTTAATTTTTTTTTCGCTCGTCTATTTTATTTTATTTTTTTAATCTAATTTCTTGATCGACGCCAAAACCTCGTCTCGATTCTCCAAATATTCATCTTCTCTCTCTTGCAAAACCAATACTAATCATCGTTCGATGACCTTTCTTTAGCCAACTTCGTTTCGAGGTACTTGTTGCTTTACTTTCTCTGTTTTTGCTTCTATAACTTCTGCATATTTCATTTCGTTTTTTGTTTATTGAATCTGGGTGTACTGTTTATCGTTCAATTTTTTTTCTTTGCATTTGATCGGCTACTCTAGCTCGTGCTATTTCGGAAATTGGTTTCAATTATGGTTTTAACAGTGCTTGATATTGATGAAAACCGTGTTGGAGTCATTTGGGTGATTTTGGGTATGCTGAAATTCACTTCTTTTGATGGTTGCATATCATGAATGTTACTTTGGAACTTCTTTGACTGTAAAATAGTGGAATTTACGAACTCACCAGCTTTTCTCTTTGATTTTACTTATCTAATCGCGTGTTATTTTTTCCATGGAACATTTTGGCGTAACTTTGTACGGACCCATTGCTTTTTACCAAGGCTGTGAGATTCTGGAGAGAACATGCATAATGTTTTCTTACATATATGGATATGTTACTGATTGTTTATCTTGTATCTTTCCAAGTCTTTCCTCCAGTTATGTTATTCACCATACTAATTTTGTGATGTAAACTTGTAGATAAAAGAGAGATATGATTGAGTAGTTTTCCCATTATTGAGTAAGGTCGACGTCAAGCGCTTGATTTCTTCTGTGTTTTATTGGGTGAGAGATAAACCTTTCGTTTTCGTTTTCATTTTCCGGATAAGGGTTGGTCTAGATTTGTTTCACGGGTTACCATAAAAAGAAAAGAGAAACATCTTTGATGTTGCGCGTCTATTGTGTTACCAGTTTGCATATGTGTTGACCATGAAAATTCAGTTAGGTTTTTAATTATAATATGTTGACAATATTTAATCACATTCCATACAGATATAGTAATTATGCTCTTCTAAAATTGGACTCTGTCTTAGTGCCCTGCCATAAGAGAAATAGAAATCTGACTGTTGGCTCTTGAACACTTTTTGCAATATGCATACTGTGTCTCTCTTTGCATATAGTTATAGCTGTACTTGGCTCTCAAACACTTACAGGCTTCAAAGTGTTTGTTGACTTAACTTATCCCTGTTTTACTTTTTTTGTCTTTGGCAGAAAGTGCATAATGGAGCAACAATCTGAAGATTCTCTATCAGGTAATTTCTTTTATCCATCTAAGACTAACTGGTTGAGAGCATGTAAGTGCCTACTGATTTCTTTCATTATTTGGATTAACGTCTTTACGATGCTGGTTTAGTTATACACCAGACCTTTCGAATAATTAACAAACATTTGTTTTGCAGGCCCACCTAAAAATTTATTAGTTACTGTTCCCAAAAAAGTGGGAAGTAGTGCATGGGGAATTCCTCGCGGATCTGACGCTTTTCATGCTTCATCTGATGTTAGCTTGTTTTCGAGTTCGTTGCCAGTCCTACCACATGAGAAATGTACGTACAAGTGTTTGTTGTAACATTCTGATTATTGACAATCTGTTTAGTTTTTATGTGGGAAATAAGTCTTGCCTTGCTAATGTGCAGTGGATTTTGATTCTGAGCTTTGTCAATCTGATGGTGCTGACTTATCCAATGAACTTGACCCCAAAGCTGACGTTAAGGATCCTCTTGGAGAGGTAGAAATAGAGGCAATAGACAACCTGCTTCCTGATGATGATGAGCTTTTTAGTGGTTTAATGGATGATTTTGACTTAAGTGGATTGCCCAGTCAATTAGAAGATTTGGAAGAGTATGACCTATTTGGCAGTGGAGGGGGAATGGAATTAGATTTCGAACCACAAGAGAACCTCAGTATAGGTATGTCAAAATTGAATCTTTCTGACGGTGTTGCTGCAAGCATGGTTAGTCACTATGCTCTGCCAAATGGTGTGGGAACGGTGGCTGGCGAGCATCCATATGGGGAACATCCATCAAGAACATTGTTTGTAAGGAATATCAATAGTAATGTCGAGGATGC